TGTTACTGATTGATGGCCATCATTCACTGTGCGGTCTTTTAAAACCTACTGTTTACTGTAGTGTTTGTAGACACCCCATTTTTGACCAACCTTAAGACTCAGACGTCACCAATTGAGCGCTTGGTGATATTACATAATGTGCTCGTTCAGAAGTCTCAGAGTCGCGGCCGTGAGCCCTGCCTCCGGACTTCCGAACCCTCTTTTGTGCTTTTGCCTCGGTTTGCGAACCAGGCTCGGTTTTCTCTGTTTCTTTTCCTGAGGGGAGGGAGAGGTCCCGTAGACCATCTCTCAGTGGCTGTGGGCTACATTTGGTGGCCGTAGGCCATTTTGCCCATTTCGGAGCCCGGTTTCCAGTTTTTCGAGACCGTTGGCCATGTGCCTCGGTTCGGGACCGCCTAACCATCTCTGTTTGCTCTGATTTTCGGCATACTTCTTATTTACTCCCTTTTGAGGGACACTGGGGTCTGAGAGACCCACTTCGTGCCTGAATGCCACTTTCGGTGCTTAATAAGTAATTTTCGGGGCCTCGAACAGCGTGTTTTGGCCCGCGAGCATTCGTTTTGCATCGGTTTTTGTTCGTTTTTGGCAGGTACCTCTGGTTTATCACCGGGAAGGCCGTAGAAGGGTGGGAGCCCAGCAATTGTTTCAACAACCAGTTTTTGCTCCTCCGGCGCCCTCCGACGCCCGTTTTTCTCACTTCCGAGCTAATGTTGAACAACCTGGGCCCTTTTTCTTGAACTTTGAACCACATATTTGTGATGTACACACATGGGAGGACACTAAAAGTTCATGGCCGGCAAGAAAATCCAATTGAACCTTTTGAACCCCTCCTTCCGAGCCAATGTTGAACACCCTTGGGCCACTTTCTTGAACATTGAACCACATATTTGTGATGTACACACTTGGGAGGATCCTAAAAGTTGGTGGCCGGCCACTAATGTCACCTGACCCTTTTGACCCCCCCTAGAAGTGGCTTGTTCTCTCTCCTATTTTAAAATTTCCAAATTCGAACCACAGGGTTGTGATGAGGGGACCTGGGAGGCCATCTTTTTGTGGTGGCCGGCCACTAACTCAATTTGACCTTTTTGACCCCTAGCCGGCCGGCTAGGGGGGGTGGCCGGCCGGCCACCTGCAGCTCCAAAAGGTGGCCGGCCATGTTCCTTGCAACACAAACTTTACAGCTGTATAGCTGTATCCCCCAGAAAATATCTCAATCCGGGGGATATTTTTTAGGGGAAAACTTACCTCCTTTTCCCCCACATTTTCCCCACCTTTACACCCTCTTTTTGTTCCTTATAACCAGCTGCAAGCATTTGTATTAGGGGTTAGAAAAAAATCCTTTGAGCCTCTTGCATTATATCCCCTCTCCTTCTCTCATTTTCTACCCTAAAACACCCAAGTTTCATCCCCTTTTCTTCACTACCACCTAACACCATCACCACCACTCCATTTCCAGCATCAAAGAGGGTTTCTCAGAGGCAAAAGGTGCTGCAACTTGGTCCAAGAAGCAACCAAAGAGTGGTCTACAAGGGTGAGTTGCCATTTTCCCCTTTTTGAGCTTATTTTTGCAACATTTCTTAGCCATATATGATTTTTTCTTTAAGCTCCGGACATAACTGAAAGTGGCCTTCTTTTGAGCTCTTTTTCACTTTTTCTTAAGGGCTCAACCCTGTTTGAGCCCCCCATCTTGCACTTGCTTCAATATCTTCCTTAAATGCTATTTTCTTGCATGCTTTGGCAGCCTATTGTGCTTCGGTTTTTAGTCTTTTTACAGTACTAAAAATAGTCTTATTTTGATCCATTCTTCATGTTTTATTAAGGGCCTTTCATGGTTTGGGACCTCCATATGCTACTTCATGTTGTATCCCTCCTTGGTCCCATTTTCTTGCATGCTTTGGCAGCCCATTATGCTTCCATTTTTGGGCGTTTTACAGAACTAAAAACAGGCTTATTTTGAGCCCCTCTTCAACATTGAAGAAGGGCTCAACACTGTTTGGGACCTCCATGCTATACTTGCCTTTATATTCTCTTTTGGTCCCTATTTTTGCATGTCTTGGCAGCCTATTGTAGGGCTGGGCAACAAACCCACCCGCCCGCACAAACCGCCCGATCCTACCCTACCCGCAGTGCTTTGGGCGGTTTCGATGTAGGTAGGCGGGCGGGTGCGGGTCAAGAAATTCGCAAAAGATCGGGTTCGGGTCGAACTCGACCCGCCCGCAACCCGCATCTTTTTTTTTTTTTTTTAAAAAAGAAAAAATATTATTATTATTTTTTGCATTTTGGATGGATGGAGATAACTAATTATTATTTTTATTTTTACATTTTGGATGAAAGTAAAATTTATTATATGGGCACTTATATACATTATCATGATCTAATGATATTTAAATTAGTGTTGCTAGTTTGACTTTTATTTATATATATATAAAAAAAAAATCATTATATTCCATTAGTCTAGTAGACACAGTTAAATATGATATTTTGAATTGTCATTCTATTATCACATTATTGCATATTAAAAACTAAACAGTGAAGATTAATCCACTATTAAAATTAGTGTTACTAGTTTGACTTTTAAGGGTTTGTTTTTGCAAGCTAAGGAGGAAGATTAATTACTATCCTCAAGCATGGTTCCATATCATCTTATCTAACATGTGGACTATTTATTATGATCATGAATTGTATATCTTGTAATTTAATTTATAACTCTTCTAAAAAAAAAAAAAAAAGTGTTTAGAAAGTAACAAAAAATATCAAATTTGTTTAAGTTAAAAATAAAAAAATAAAAACACACTAAACCGCAAACCGAACCGCACCCGCCCGCACAAACCGCGAACCTCATCGCGGGCGGTTGCGGGTCCATTTTTCCCCAACCGCATAAGTGCCATTTTGTTTTCCAAATCTAAACTAAGATTAATATGTTAATTAAAAAAATAAAATAAATTAAAGACATAATTAAGAATTGATCTAAAATATAAAATATATTTAAGAATTGATTTAAAATATAATTAAATATGAATATATAATTAAGAATTGAACTAAAATATAAATAAATTGAAATTAGGTTAATATGTTAGGAATTATAATAAATAATTAATAATTTAGAGTTAACTGTGATATAAAAATAATTAAATTAAAATTAAAATAAAAAATTAAGAATTTATAAATAATTGTGATTTAATTGAACTAATATTAGACATTATAAATTGTGTATATGAAAGAGGAGAAAGAAAGAAAGAAAAAAAAAATATAGAGTTTGAGAATATTATGGTCATTTATATGTATAGTCAACGGTATTATTGGTTTCACTTTGATCCAAAATCACATTGGGATTTTCTAACTATATTTAACGGATAAAATGTTTTGACCTCAAATCACAAGAAGATAAAATAAACTTTGCCTTTCTGAATTTTATGATTAAATTTCATAGTTTTTGGGATGAAATTTTTCTTTTTCTTAAAACTAAGAAATTTCTTAATTTGTAAAATTGAAAATTTTAATTTTTTATGACAAATTATCAATTTAGGATTAAATTTATCAGTTTTAGGCACTAAAATTTTCTTTTTGGAGTGAAAATTTGTCAATATTGGTTGTAATTTTAAAGTATATGGTTGAAATTTCTCATTTTTACAATACAAAACTAGGAAAATTTTCACTGTTGTGAAACTAAAATTTTTTAGATGAAATTTCAGAATTTCGTCACAATTTCTTGTCTTGGTATTAAGTTTCTCATCACAATTCTTATTTTGGAGATTAAATTTCTTAGTTTTTGACTAAATTTTCTTAGTTTTGGCATGTAATTTCATTGATTTAGGTAGATAGTTTTGTGAAACTAAGAATTTTGGGACGCAATCTTGTAATTTCATTTCAAATTTTTGGATGAATTTTCTTAGGCTTGGATTAGTTTTTCTCATTTGAGATAAGATATTTCTCAATTCTTAAAACAGGCTTAGTTGTTCCATACACTATTTTTGTTAGGCAACAGCTGGCTGCGTTATTTTTAGTTTGAAAAGTAGGTTAAAAACTTGTGTGTGTAAAAAATATGAGAGATAATATAATTCAAAATGAATTAAAAATTAAAAATTAACTTTTTATTGGCTTCCAAATGGCACTTCGTCATCTTGAATCTCAAAATACCAATCAGCTTGTTTGTTTTCATTTTTCAAAAAACACTTTTCATAAAATTTTACTTTCTTATTTTTCGTATTTTTTTGTTTTTACTAAATTTTTTTAATATTTTAAGCAATTTTTTTATTTTTTAGAAACACTTAACATAAATACACCTAAAAAGTAAAAAAATTGTAAAAAAAATATTTTAAAAATTCACTACATACCAAGAATACAAAAAAATACAAGAATTCAACACATTTTTTGTATTTTTATGTATTTATTAATTTTTTAAAATATTTTTTGGCAAATTTTTTTACTGTTTAGATACATCTAACTAAGGTGCATCTAAAAAGATAAAAAAATATTTAAAATTTTAAAAATATTCACTAAAAACAAAAGAATACGAAAATAAAAAAAATTTAATTTTCAAAAAACTTAATCTAGAAAACTCAAACCAAACACACTGAATAATTCAATAAATTGACTATGGCCTCGTTTGGCAAGTGGTGATTTTAACCAAAAAACTAATAAAAAAACTAAAAAACCAATAACCTATACCAAAAAGTCAAAGATTCTATTTTCTCTTTACTTTTTGCACATTTTTTCGTAAAAAATAAAAAAATCATCCCAAACATACTAATTTTTTTTTACATCATATTTTAACCAAAAAGTTAAAGAGTTACTTAAAATGTCTGTTCCCAATTGAGACCTAAAACTCCCTTTGGCTTGGCTGCTAAGCCAATCTTGACATAATTGATTCTCTGACTTCCCAGATTTATTTGCTTTAAAAACATTTTCTGTTTTTCAAATCAAACTTAGGTCAACTTCTTTCAATTGGAGTTCAACATTCAATTAGGTATGTCTTGTTTGAAAGTTGACTCTCTTGTATGTGAGCAAACTCATTTTTTTCACATGGTTTAATCTTGAATCACTTCTTCATCTCTGAAATTTACAAATAACTTAAAAGCCAGAAACAACTAGAATAGCTTCTAAGCAGTGCATCCTCAACTCCTTCACCTTGCATAAAACATCCCAACTATTCACATAATTATATGGAAATACAAAATTTGACTACTACTTAACAGAATAGAACAGTTCAGCAAAAAAGTGTGTTCCTAAATTGCATATCCTCCTCCTACAACAAACCTCAATTGCTTCAACATGGCCATTAATCAAATCCATCCAGCAAAGTGGTGAACTTGTCACATCTGATTATCAATTACATCCCGCATCATCTGTATTGGGATGAGTCCTTCGGTTCGGATTGCATCTTTATTTGGATCTGGACTGATGAAATACAACGTTGGCAACCCCCGGACCTGGAACATAATAATATTTTACTACGGTTTCTTTCTACTTTCAAAATTCCAGTTCTAAGTCCTAAAGGAACATAGACAAGTAAGATATTTGTGGAGGCTCCTCCATTCAACACAATAAGAGTAATTTCCTGGAGAGAGAGCCCTATCAATTCCATTACCTTATCCTTACCCAAGAGGTTCCGTAGTAATAGTTTCAAACAATAACAACTTCTCTATGATCCAATCTCAAAAATTCTACATAAAATATTAGATGCCATCACGGACTCAAAATGTACTTGAAAATTGCACTTAATAACAAAGTATGAGTTTTCTGCCAAAAAATAATATTGATAAGGACAAACAGAGCCAAACGCTAACCTGCATATCACGTGCAAATTCATATTCATCATCCGTGTCAACCTTCACAATTATTGCATTGCTCTCGTACTCTACAGCAAGCTGTGGGATAAATTTAAAGTCAAAAGATATTAAAGAGATTTGCAAAAACCATGAATTCAATTAATCTGCTTCAAGAAAATTAGGTTCCGCTTGCTCATTTAGAATACTTCGCACTTAGATTGAAGAGATTCGGAAAATAGTTACAGAACAATTAAATTATGTTGGTTAACGACAAAATTCAATGGTTCACCAAAAAAGAAAAAAAAAGAATCTCCTTTTTTCTTTATTTCTCGATTAAGGCTTTGGGTGTTGGTTGATGCTTTGCCAAGGGTGGGGAGATTTTCTCTTATAGGTGTTAATCTAACAACTAACAGCTAACATTTGCCAATAGAAAAAAAAAAAAGTAGTTTTCCAAAGTAAGGTGGACTTACATGCTTCAGCCTTGTAACATCATGCGTATCCATCAATAATTAATGAACAATCCAACAAGCACCTATAAGCTTCTCTCCCATTAATTCAGTCAAAACAATGAATACTAATCAAACATCAGTGGAGCTAAGGCCCTTCACTTGTTTCAGAAAGAGTCGACTCGGGCAGTGTTTTGATAATGGATTTGCATAGGGATTTGGAAAGGGACAAGAAGAGGTGAATGAAGTGAAGAAAAAATTTAGCTTATATTTTCTTCACATTTCCCTTGCCTTTTTCTTTCCCTTTCCAAATCCCTATCCAAATCCATGATCCAAACATAGCCTGAAGGAAAATTATTTGCAAGTTGTTTCCACTATCAACGAGATATACCTTACTTAAAATCATATGCAATATCAATATATGATTAATTAAAAAAAAAAATAATAATAATAATATTATGCAGGAAGTTCTATCGAACTGGACTTACTATTACTTATGTGATGATGACTGTCACTTTGATGGGATTTTAATTGCAACACATGGAGCACAAGGAAAAAAGTAGATTTAACAAAACAGTCCTCAAAACTTACTGATTGAATTTAGAATTAAAGAATGATGCAAGTAAGCAAGAAGGGCATAAACCAATTTAAGGAAAAAAAAAGCCTCAAAATACAGAGAAAAGCAAACTACCCTTGTGCATAAGCATTCATTTTGAAGACGATTATACACCACCCAACCTTGTAGAAAACCCCTCATTCTATCAATAAGAGAACAATCAACAGCAGAGTTACAACTCATTCTTCCGAGGACTACTGTGTATGTTTCAATGCAGAGATTTCTTAAAGCAAACATTTGAAATTCTCATTTACATTAAAATATGAGCATATGAATGCTCAAAGTTGTGCATGAAATATCATGATTAGATTGATATTTTTTTTATGCAAAATGCCTAAGATAGTTGCGATAACTCACTCAAGAGTCAACTTGGAGAAAACGGGAAATTTCAACTTGCATCTAGTGATGTGTGCCATTTGGTGGGGCCACCCCAACCCACTGTGTAGTGTCATCATCTTAGGCGGGAAGCGTGGTGCAAGCCGGATGATGCAGCCGGGCTCGACCAATACAAAAAGGGAGGTCAGTTGGGTCTCTGTCATTTCATTTTAAAACATACACTCTATCTCTAACCTCTAAAAAAGAGGCTTTCCACTTGTGATTTCAATTTTCCCTCTGAACTCTAAAATCAATCAATGGCCTTTTATTCTCAAAATTTCCTAACACACCTAAAGACAACAATTCTTCAAGCCATCATTCAGATTCCTGCAGTATACACTAAATACTAACCTGTAGCAATTTTTTATTTTTTTTTCTTTATGATGTCAACTATATTTTTCTCTTTAATGTACTTTTTTTTTGATCGGCAAAGAAAAATTCCATTAAATATGAAATTTGAAGGTACAAGGAGATAAAACGCATTGAGAGAGATTCGAAGAGTAAAAATTCACTCTCCTACTACTGCTACTCGCGTTCTTACAACCACCCTCTTAGCCTCATGGTTTTAAATTTTAAAAAACAACTAGAGAAAAAAGGAAAAAAGAAAAGAGTAAAATAGAACACACTCTTGAGCCCCCACCTAACACCTAACACACAGCTATACACCCCACGTCTGACTAAGACACTTGATACACTCTTGAGCCACACGTTATTACACCCTGCACCATTGTCGGACTGCCCCACGCCTGACTCTCTTGGGCACTCAACCTCCATAATTGCCGAACACACAGGCTCCATTGCCGTCGAGAACTACCTGTCTTGAACCACCTTTGCCAGACACCCACGCCTTGCTCTTAACTGGGCTGCTGTCACTACGCCTTGCTCTCCACGCTTGAGTCTGTGTCACTACTGCCGGACACTCGAGTTGCTGCCGAGAACCACCTGTGACTTCAATACCTGCTGGTTTCTCCTCCTTGAGTCAACAAATTCCTTTCTCTCGACTTCGACCTCTGCCGGAACTGCTACTGGTGCCTCCTTTTTTGCTACTGCTGCTGCCTCCTTCTTTGGTTCTTCTTCAGCAGCCACTGGTTCAGTTCTTCACCACGCTTCTACCTTGAAAATCCAGTTTCCATCTTAAATTTCTCCCACGGTTTTCCTCTCCTAAACACCTCCGTCGATTGATCCTCACCAACACGCTGAACAGACCCCTCTTTGTAGACCCGGCTCCATTCTCCTCTTAAGCGAACACAAGCTCCGACCACCATAGAGTTGAACAGAAATCACCCCTCAAACTCCCACTCACACGGAGCGCTTGAATGAAGATCCTAAACAACTCTGGATCCTCCACCCCTCAAACTCCCACTCGCAGAGAAGGGCCCGAATGAAGTTCCTGAACCAGCCCACCCATGGTCAACGCAACTCCCGTAAACCGAAATCCAAGGCCGAAACTGAACCCCATGGCCGAAGCACCACTACCACTGAACCTCTTCAATCCAAGAAAGAATCCACCAAACCCACCTAACAAAGACAAGCGTGTCAGAGAGAGAGAGAGAGTCAATGCCCTAAATCAAAGATGGAAGATCAGAAGACGAATAGGCACCGTTTAGGAGAGAGAGAGAGAGAGAGAGAGAGAGGGAGAGAGAGAGAGTGGCGAAGCCTCGATCTGTTTGTCAAATGTTTTCCGTTGCCCTAATTCTCTTTAATGTACTTATATGATGATAATTGCACCACTGATTACAAAGAGAGAGGTTAAAAATGGTTGGAAGGATTGGAAATGGAGGTCTTCCAAGGACAAATTTGTAAATGGGGAATACTTGTTTCATCAGGTTAGGGAAGCTGTGTCCCTCTCTATTTTAGGTCTCAATCATTCACTGTTGTAGATGTATCCATGGTTCCGACTCTAACTTCTGATGCAGGTCCACTCCATAGTTTTAGATACAAAGCTTGTTGATTTTTTTTTGGTGTAAATTTTCATACAATAATGTCAGGGATTAAGAACTCAGATATAAAAAATTACTCTGATAAATAATGTATGGAAAGGATTACATCTAAAATGAATCTGCACCACACATTATTTTTTTTTTGATATTTTTCTCTGTCTGAGTTCTTAGTCTGTAGCACTATTGATTTTCATAATGTGTCATGTTATTGTAATCCACGTTTCTTTTCTTTTCTTTTCTTTTCTTTCTTTCTTCTTCTTCTTCTTCTTCTTCTTCTTTTTTTTTTTGAGATTGTTGTGATGGTGCTTAGATGCACCCAAAAACCTTTGAAGGCAGGCTTGTATTGTAAAGGATTTGTAGATTCTTTATACTTAGAAACTTGTGAGTATGAATGAAACACACCAAAGTTTTTGGGAATGTTGCTTGCAATGTACATATTTTTATTAATACATTCAATTTTCCCTAAATGTTGAACTTGTTTCAAGCATTTTCACACATTGTTGGGTTAAGTAATCATAATCTATTTAAAATCAAAATCAAAAGCTAGTTTGGTGAAAGAAATTGGAAAAAAATATATATTATTTTTTATATATTTTTTACTTTTTGGGACAGAAATAATTTTGGAATATTTCAAAATATCTTTTTTTTGGTGTTTATCATCAGATTGAGGAAATCAACCACACTTTCATATACATTTTGCAGCATATATATACACATATAGGATAACAAACACTTGTTTGAAATCCTAAAATATAGAGCAGTTTGAAATTGTTTCCTAACTCTAAGGCACAAGTATCACTACAACAAAATACACCTTTGGCGACCAAAATTGGCGACTAAAAAAAATTTAGTCGCCAAAAGTTATGGAATTGGCGACTAGCATTTTTTTTAGTCGTCAAAAGTAAAATATTTAGCTACTAATTTTTTTCGTTGGGGTATATTCATTATTGGCGACTAAAAAAAATTTAGTCGCTAAAAATGCCAGAATTGGCAACAAAAAAAAACTTAGTCGTTGTATATTGACTTTTGGCTACTAAAATATGTAGTCGCCGAATGGAAAATAAAAAAATTATTTTTTTCTCTTTGGCTAAAAACTTCTTTCAGCGACAAAAAATTATTTTAGTCACCTTTAGCAAATTTTTTCCTACTAAAATGTTTAGTCGCCAATTGTAATTAAAATTTTCAAAGAATTTACACTTTTGGCACTAAATTTGGCGACTAAAACAAATTTAGTCGCCAAAAGTGTAACAATAGGCGACTAAATTTTTTTTTTGTCGGCATTAGTTCATGTTTTGGCTACTAAAATAATTTTAGTCATCATTTATTAATATTTCCCGACTAAAATTTCGTCGCCAAATGTGTATAGAAATTTAGTGGGAAATATTTCATATTGGCGCCTAAATTTTTGCCCAAATCTGTTAGCCTTCACACGGTTCTATTCTATCTCTCTCTTACTCTCCCTCTCTCTCTTTCTCTCTCTCTCTCTCTCTCTCATAGAGAATCGATCACCACCACCCCTCATCTTGCCATCGCAGACAACCACAGTTTCCGTCAATCTTCCACTGTCGAACATCGCCACCGCAGCTCACCATTTCCTCGCCTCGCCTCCCATTGATTCGCTTCTGGCGGCTTACTTCTCTCTACATTTTTTTTCTCTCCGCATCTTCTCTTTTCCTCACCAGATCGATGACAATCTCCCTCCCTTTACTTCTCTTTGTGTTCGATTTTTGTTGGTTCATGATCTATGTTCAAAGTTATATATATATATATATATGTGTGTGTGTGTGTGTGTGTAAAGCTTTAGTGATTTCTATATGTGTGTGTGTAATTGGGTATTTGATTGTTCGATTTCCAAACCCTAATGGCGGAAATGGAAATTCGAAGTCTGTATATGTGTGTAATTGGGTATATGATTGTTGTTTGATTTGGTTATTGGAAACCTAGAGGAAACGCTTTTGTTTACGTTTATCCAACTGTTGATTACCAGGTACATGCTGATTTAAAATCAAAATTGAATTATTTTGTGTGTGCTTAGAATGAAATTGAGCTAGGGCTAAATTAGAGAAGTTGTTTTGATTGTTGGATTTGATTATTTTGGATTGATTTGGGGGATTTTTGATGGAAATTATTGTCATATTGGATTCAAGTGTTATTAGTTTGAAAGAAGTATTTTCAATTCCCTTTTCTAATTGATTTTGCAGGTATATGCTGATTTAGACTCGAAATTTTTTTTTTTCCTGCTGTTAGTATGGACGTGTATATTTGTATAGGCTGGTTTTTTTTCCGTTGTTGAATGGGAGAAGAGGTATGTTTTATGATAGGCCTAACAGTTTAATTGCCATATTGTCCAATGTATATTTGTATAGGCTAATTCTTTGGACATTTACTAGTCTTGCTCCTCAATAATTCTGAAATTTCGTTCACTGATTGCAATAGGATTGACGGGAACACACTATCTGGGAAGATACCTGATCTCATCAGGAATTGGACAAAAATTGTGAGATTGTGAGTATATCATTCATTCCAACAAATTATTATTGTTATTTTTTTATAATAAATTTTTAACTTAAGAGCATCTCAAATGAATGTTTTATTTGAATCTGTTTCAGGGACATGCAAGGCATATCTATGGATGGCCCTATTCCTTCGACCATTGCCCAGCTGAAAGACTTAACTGAATTGTGAGGACTTATTTAATTACATTCCAAACTACTTTAATCTATTTAGCTCTTTGTTTCAACCAAGAGGAAATTCAAGGATTTTTTATGCTTATAGATTTGAGAATGTAGAAAGATGAAGCAACCTGATCTGTTGCATCTTGATTTTCCAGGAGGATATCTGATTTGAATGGATCAAGTATGAAATTCCCTGATCTGCAGGAGTTGAAAATGTTGAACACACTGCAAGTTGAATCCAGATGTAATTCATGGGAAGAGTGCAATCTTGTTTCATCAATTTGTGGTGTGGTTACCTAACCGATTTGTTTGTTTTATTTTTGTTACATAGGATACTAAGAAATTGCTTAATTATTGGTCCAATCCCATATTACATTAGTGAATTGTCTAATCTCAAATTTTTTTAAGTTCATTATAATTGGCTTTCTTACAGAGATTCATGGTTTCTTGATTTAAAAAAAAAAAAAATTGATTTGATATCTCTAAACATAGAAATGCTTTATTTGTGTTCTTATTCTTGAATTAAGTAGTTTTGCTATTTATTTAATTTGACATGTTATATTATATCTGAAGATTGTAGTTCAAAATGGAAAGACTTGACGCCTTGTTTGTTATGTTAGATTTATTTTCTGTTTTTTAAGAAAACTAATAACTCTACAACCACCTTGATACTTCAATGAATCAGCTAGCCATTTACTAATAATGGAGATGAATCAGACCATTAAATTTCATATATGTTCAATGTCTACTGTTATTCATCTATACCTCTTACCCCTTTTGTGCATACCAAAATTATTCTTCGGATTTTATGAAACAAACTTTCTTTAAGATTTGCTGTCTAGGATCTGTTTGAGTCCTAGAAATTATTGGGGAGCAAAGTGCATGTAAATTATATCACATTAAAGTCATCTTTCGGTTTATTTAGTTTATGAAGAATTTAGTTTTTGTTTTTCCATTCCAATGTAGACTAGCAAAAGTTGTTCTTCACATAATGAAATGTCATTTGCTTTGTTTTTGTTCTTCTCTTCATGGATGTAGCTATAGTAATCCCTCATCTTTGTTTTTGTTTTTGTTCTTCTCATAGGATTCTTATGCAGATTGTTTTTGCTTTATAATTGGGGTTTTTGCTATATTTTGAAGTTCCAAAAAATTTTAGTTCAAGTTTAATCATAGATGAATTCTTTGATAAAAAATGATCATCAACAACTACTTTGATAGATGAATTCTTAGATGCATCTTAGATGCACCTAACCTTAGTACCTAGATGTATCTAAAAGGTAGAGCAAAAAACGCCTTAAGCTTAACCGAAAAAGGGTGTTAAGGGAGCAAAAAATCGAAATAGCCTTGGAACCACCGTAGGGATGTCACAGCCAGCTTCCCCGTGACATATACAACTTGTGACAACAGACAAAATGTCATTAGCACACGTAGTTTGTGAGTTAGAGCCGAAAACGACTTAAACTTATTCGAAAAAGGGAGAGTTTGACATCTAAGAAATGTTCAACATTTTTATTGTAAATGATGCCATTGTTTCATCGTGCACGGTGGTCATTTGGGTGGTAAACGTATTAAGAAAGCATGATATGGTTATGGAGATAATTCCGTAGATTACTTAATCATTTGATTTTGATAAAAACTACTCTATTTCATCTCAACTTTTTTACTTGTGCAGGTACTGGAATTACTTGAGGAAGCACACATATGTTCTAGAATCTATGGTTTCTCCCTCTCCCTTTCTCTCTATCTGTGATTTCTCTATCCGTTCTCTTGCTCTATATCATTTCTCACTCTCGTCTCTTGCTTTCGAAGGCTTTTTGAAGATCTTTGTCTTTTTCAGTAGCTTATTTGTTTGAAAGAGTTCTCATTGAAGAGGTATGGCTTGAAATCCCTAAAACCCTATCCACTCTTTTGTATTTCATTTTGTTTCCTCCTAATTAGTTATTTCTTTCATATATTTTGCACTTGTATTGGGTTCCTTTTGGTAAATTTGTATGTAATATTTGATTTTTATTAGTATGAATTTTTGATTTTGGAGACCATTATATAAATTTCCTCTGAGTTGTTCTTTATGTGGTCTTCTCTTTTTAGTATTTTCTATGCACATACTTGCAAGCATTTTGACAAATTGACATCATTGAAAATGGAAAGTCAGGGATAAATGCATGCTAATATTATGTGTATCTTGTTGACACTTATTGCTATCACAATAATAGAACATTAAGAGTTGCTGTAGAAATTACATAGCATACTATGTTGGGTTTATAATATGTAAACTCACAATTTGAATATATTGCTTAGCCTTTAATTGGGTAATTGTTAGAAACCCTTGATTTTTCTTGCTAGTCTGGTGTATGCACAAGATGCTCAATGTGCTGCCATAATAATTCTCTGGTGTACATGTCGTTCTCAACTCATCATTCACAAGAACATCTATAATTCTGTATGCATAGCTCCATTTCATATCACTTTATTTATTTATTTTTGGTGGGTAATATTAATCTCAATTAGTGATGAATATGTATTTAAATGGTTCCCAATAAATAAAAGTTACAATGGTTCCTAATAGCTCCATTTCAAGTGGAAGAAATATCAAATGTGGGGTGATTGGTTGGTATTTATTGTCATTGTATTTCTTTGTATGACGATATGATATTAATTATGTTGCCTTCTTGTTTCTTTCTATGATAGTGGATTGGAATTGGGCCATCACAAAATGATGGTGGGAACTGCTAGTAGTGGTAAGGCTTTAAGGTGGGGATTGTGGGATAGATATGTTATCCTGGTTCTTAATGAGGAAAATATATTGATGTTGTTAGTATGGTTGTGGGTGTGCATTTATGGCTTTGATTTTGACTCAAATGGTTGCTATATTTGATTGGCTTACATACTCCCCACAGTGAAAATTTTGACATTGAAAATCCATTTACTAGTTAAAAATTTTGACGGAAAGAAAATGATTTCCGCTTCGATTCCAATAGGACAACAATGCATTAAGCTTAACCGAAAAAGGGCGTTAAGGGGGTGAAAATGTGAATCAGCCCCTGAACGACCGTACGAATGTCATGGCCACCTTCCCTGTCACAAATAGGACCAATGACAATAGACGGAATGTAATTAGCACACATAGTTTGGGAGTTAGAGCCGAAAATGCATTAAACTTAGTTGAAAAAAAGCGTTTTGGGGGCGAACATTCATAACAGCCCCCGAATCACCGTGTGACTCACATGGACAGTTTCCTTATGACAAATAGGACTTATGAGAACTGACGGAATGTAATTCGGATCCATAAATAGGGAGTTAGAGCTGAATATGCACCAAACTTGGCCGAAAAAGGGTGTTTCGGGGGTGAAAATTCATTACAGCCCCCGAACCACCGTGTGGCTCACACGGACAGTTCCCCCATGACAAATAAGACTTGTGAGAACTGACGGAACGTAATTCGGATCTGTAGGTTGAGAGTTAGAGCTGAACAAGCCCTAAACTTAGTCGAAAAAAGGCGTTTTGAGGGTGAAAATTCAAAACAGACCCCAAACGACCATGTGGCTCACACAGATAGCTTCGCCATGATAAATAGGAGTTGGGAGAACTGACGGCATGTAATTCGGACCAGTAGGTAGGGAGTTAGAGCCGAATACGCCCTAAACTTAGTCGAAAAAGAATTTTCAGGGGCAAAAATTCAAAACAGTCACTGAACCACTATGTGGCTCACACAAACAGTTCCCCCATGAAAAATAGAACTTGTGAGAATTGACGGAACATAATTCGGATCTGTAGGTTGGGAGTTAGAGCCGAATACGCCGCAAACTTAGATGAAAAAAGACGTTTCGGGGGTGAAAATTAAAAACAGCCCCCGAACAACCGTGTGGCTTGCACAGATAGCTTCGCCGTGACAAATAGGACTTGTGAGAACTGACGGAACGTAATTTGGACTTGTAGGTTGGGAGTTAGAGCCGAATACGCTCTAAACTTAGTCGAAAAAGAACTTTCCGGGGATAAAGATTCATAACAGCCCCCAAACCACCATGTGGCTCACACAGACAGTTCCCTCATGACAAATAGGACTTGTGAGAACTGACGGAAAGTAATTCGGACCCGTAGCTTGGGAGTTAGAGCCGAATACGCCCTAAACTTAGTCGAAAAAGGGAGTTTCGGGGATAAAAATTCAAAACAGCCCCTGAACCACCATGTGGCTCACACGGACAGTTCCCCCATGACAAATAGGACTTGTGAGAACTGACGGAACGTAATTCGGACCCGTAGATTGGGAGTTAGAGCCAAATACGCCCTAAACTTAGTCGAAAAAGAACTTTCCAGGGGCAAAAATTCATAACAGCCCCCGAACCACCATGTGGCTCACACGGACAATTCCCCCATGACAAATAGGACTTATGAGAACTGACTGAACGTAATTTTGACCCGTAGGTTGGGAGTTAAAGCAGAATACACCCCAAACTTTGTCGAAAAATGGAGTTTCATGGGCAAAAATTCAAAACAGCCCCCGAACCACTGTGTGGCTCACACGGACAGTTCCCCCATGACAAATAGGACTTGTAACAACTGACGGAACGTAATCCGAACCCGTAGGTTGGGAGTTAGAGCCGAATACGCCCTAAACTTACTTGAAAAAGGACTTTCCGGGGGTAAAAATTCATAACAGCCCCTGAACCACCGTGTGGCTCACACGGACAGTTCCCTTATGACAAATAAGACTTGTGAGAACTGACGGAACGTAATTTGGACTCGTAGGTTGGGAGTTAGAGCTAAATACGCCCTAAACTTAATCGAAAAAGCACTTTCCGGGGGCAAAAATTCATAACCGCCCCCGAACCACTGTGTGGCTCACACGAACAGTTCCCCCACGACAAATAGGACTTGTGAGAACTAACGGAACGTAATTCGGACCCGTAGGTTGGGAGTTAGAGCCGAATACGCCCTAAACTTAGTCGAAAAGGGGCGTTTAGGTGGCAAAAATTCAAAATAGCCCCTGAACCGCCGTGTGGTTCACACGGGCAATTCCCCCATGACAAATGGAACTTGTGACAGCTAACGGAACGTAATCTGGACCCGTAGGTTGGGAGTTAGAGCCGAATACGCCCTAAACTTAGTAGAAAAAGGACTTTCCGAGGGCAAAAATTCATAACAGCCCCCGAACCACTGTGTGGCTCACACGGACAGTTCCCCCATGACAAATAAGACTTGTGAGATTTGACAGAATGTAATTCGGACCCGTAGGTTAGGAGTTAGAGCCGAATACGCCCTAAACTTAGTCGAAAAAGGGCGTTTTGGGGGCGAAAATTCAAAATAGCCCCCGAACCACGGTGTGGCTCACACGGAAAGTTTCCCCATGACAAATAGAACTTGTGACAATTGACGGAACATAATCCGGACCCGTAGGTTGGGAGTTAGAGCCGAATACGCCCTAAACTTAGTCGAAAAGGGACTTTCCGGGGGCGAAAATTGATAACAACCCCCGAACCACTGTGTGGCTCACACGGACAATTCCCCCATGACAAATAGGACTTGTGAGAACTGTCAGAACGTAATTCGGACCCGTAGGTTCGGAGTTAGAGCCGAACACGCCCTAAACTTAGTCGAAAAGGGCATTTCGGGGACAAAAATTCAAAACAGCCCCCAAACGACCGTGTGGCTCGCACAGATAGCTTCGCCATGATAAATAGGACTTGTTAGAACTGACGAAACGTAATTCAGACCCGTAGGTAGTGAGTTAGAGTCGAATACGCCCTAAACTTAGTCAAAAAAGGACTTTCCAGGAGCAAAAATTCATAACAGCCCCTTATCCACCTTGTGGCTCACACAGACAGTTCCCCCATGACAAATAGGACTTGGGAGAACTGACGGAATGTAATTCGGACCCGTAGGTTGGGAGTTAGAGTCGAATACGCCCTAAACTTACTCGAAAAAGGGTTTTCCAGGGGCGAAAATTCATAACACCCCCCGAATACACTTAGTTGAAAAACTTGCAACAATTAGTTAAAAAGCAACAAATTAATTAAAATAACATCTACATATTCTAATGATTGCCTTTATATATTTATAGGACGAAGAAATTACATATTATATTGTTTGTGCAGTTGGTTGAAATAAATATTGCATGATACATATATATATATATATACTTTCTTTTATTTCCAAGAAGACATTTCTCGATTGTTCTACCTTAAACGCATGTTAGAACATGTTCCATATGGCTAACTGAATTGATATTTTGTAACCAATTCTAATGTTTAATTTTTTTGTTTTTCTTTGTAGATGGCTTTGTTGCGTGGACTTGTGGAAAATCCATATTGGTGCATGGAGAAGAATTTTCACTTTTGTGTAGAACTAACATAATACTTTTGTCATCCTTAGCTTTTGTGTAGTTCATTATTACTTTTGTCGTGGTAGATATATCACCTTTTGTTGTGGTACAGATTATGATGGTAATTTGTACCATGCCAAATGGTAATTTTGCTTGGTAGTAAATGTATTTTTTTGTATACGGAGGGTTTTGATTTTTGTATGATATATTTTGTATGAAATTATTATTTTAGTTTGGACAATAGTTGATTTGTATGGACTTTGATATTTAATATTATTTATTTTTGGTATATGGATGCAGATTGTGGAATGATTGATAGTATGCATCATTTTGTTTTTATACGTATTACAGGTTGCATTGTATATAGACAGGTTATGGAGAAATTATAATTTCGCGATAAAACATAATATCATGTTTTTGGCGACTAAACAATTAGTAGCTAAGAAGAAATTGGGAAAAGACATTTGGCGACTAAAAGTTTTGTAGAAAAAAAAAAAAAAAAAAGACATTTGGCGACTAAAAGTTTTGTAGCCAAAAAAAACAAAAAAAAGACATTTGGCAACTAAAAGTTTTGTAGCAAAAAAACAAAGACATTTAGCGACTAAAAGTTTAGTAGCCAAAAAAAAAAAGACATTTGGCGACTAAAACTTTAGTAGCCAAAACAAAATCAAACATTTGGTGACTAAAATATTTCGTAGCTAAAAACAAAAAATTAAATTATAAACATACTTTTGCCGACTAAAATTTTGGTAGCCAAAAATGTAAAACTTTAGGCGACCAAATATTTAGTAGCCAAAAGAGGAACTCTTTGCCGACTAAACATTTAGTAGCCAAAGATGAGGACTTTTGGCAACTAAATTTTTTGTAGCTAAAAAAGAACTCTTTGCCGACTAAAATTTTAGTAGCTAAAAAGGTGGGACTTTAGGCGACTAAAAGTTTGGTAGCCGAGAAGGGTCTAATTTAATTTAATGTCCAACCTTTTGGCGACTAAATATTTGATTTGGACTCTTTGGTTCAGACTTAGAACCGTGACTACAAATCGAGTCCGAGCTGTAGCGAGGTCCCCCGCGGGCTTGTTACAATGCTCTTCACTCTTAAGAGCATAAAACACATAAACTCATAAATCTAGGCATGCCCAGGTTATAGAAAAAAAGTAAAATAAAAATAATGTTCGGTTTCTCACTCCTCTTCCTTTCTCTCTCTACCTATCTCTCCCAATCCCTCAAATTCCAAACCATTCTCCTATAATTTCTTCAGAAATCACAGTCTCACTCATAGACAACAACCCAAGATTCAAAAACTCTCACTGTCGATCAAAATCTAAAATCACCCTCTCCGTACAGTTACACCACCCTCACTGACAACAACCCTCTCCGAAACCACCCTCATTGCCACGCTAATGCCTCTTCTACACCACCTCCAACGCAACGCAATAGAGCCAAAACCTTATCCGCTGCTATCTATGGCAACACTACCACCGACCGCGACTTCAGCAAGTATCCTACGACGACGGTTTGTTTGGATCCAGTGCTCCTTGTGTCAAAAATACTACACTCAGACCGACCCAATCTTCAATCTGACCAAATTGACTCGCTAAGCTGCAACAACCGGCAAATGTGTCTCTATCAAGTATTGTACAACGACGATTTGTTCACGGTAGGCAATTTCTCAACCGAAATGTTGACGTTTCGAAAGACTATAGTCCCCAACATTGCTCTCGAATGCGGTCACGAAAACGAAAGCTTATTCGTTGACACCGTTGGATTGTTGGGTTTGGGCTAGGGGAAGTGAGACTAAAAGACAAAATAGAGATTGTTTAGTAAGGCTGAAAATTGGGAAGTGAGGCTGAGAGCCTTAAGAGAGATAGGAGAGTTTAAAGAGAGTGTAAAGTTTTAGATGGCGATGTTAGATATGAAGATGCTGGGGTGCATAAAGCACAGCAGCAACTGGTGCACATTGTACGGTATCATTTTGTTTCTTTGTTTTGTTTTGTTTTTTCTTTTTGGCTCATTGTTGTTGAATGGATTGACTTTTAAAAATATTCCTTGTGGCAAAATGTTTCGTTAATTTTCTTATTGGTTTCATTTATTTAAAGAAAAAACCTTTGACCAAAATATTACTGATTTTCCTATTGGTTATTCAAAAATATTATGCTTACTACACATCTCTGAGTATTTGTTCAAAATCAAATAATGTCAGAAAATTTTAAATTTTTAATACATATTTAAATATATATATATATATATATATAAATTATATTAAAAATATAAACATGTATATAAATATATAGAAGTGTGTAAGAATATGTAAAATGTGTTTTAAAATTTTAATTTTTGAACATTATTTAATTTTTAACTAACCTAATTTTTTTTAAATACAACAAATAAGAAAATCAATAATAATTTGGTTAAAGTTTTTTGGGGAAATTATAATATAAAAATAAAAAAATAAAAAACTCCTAGGATTTGACCCTTATAACAAAATAAGACCTTAGATTTTAATTTTGTCAATTTAAACCCAAATATTTTGATTTGTTTTCAATCTAAATTGTTTATCTATTTATATTAAGTAAAACTAACAAAAAAAAAATTTAGCCATTAAACTCAATAAAAAAAATAATATTTTAAACATTTTATATATACCTATATTAAGTTTACTGGCTAGAATACACTTTTTATGTCGGTTTTATTTAATAAAAATAAACAAATAATTAAGATTAAAAAAATAAGGTATTAAATTAAAAAAATTAAAACCACAAAATTTATTTATTACCATGGTCAAACTCTAAGATTTTTTTATTTTATTTTATTTTTTTGTGAACTGTCCAAGGTTTTTTTTTTTTTTTTAAACCGCAGTCAAACTTTGTCCCAAGAGATATTTTTAAAAGTCCAATATCATTTTATAAACACAAAAAAACAAAAATAAAAAACAAAACAAAATAAAAAAATAAAATTAAAAAACAAACCAAAGACTTGTTCCCCAATAAAACAATTGCATTGGAGAAAGTAGTGCACCACACTTGAAATTTTGAAAAAGACTAAAAAAAAGAGAGAGGATGGGTGGGTGTTTTATAAACACAAAAAAAACAAAAATAAAAAACAAAACAAAATTAAAAAATAAAATTAAAAAACAAACCAAAGACTTGTTCCCGAATAAAACAATTGCATTGGAGAAAGTAGTGCACCACACTTGAAATTTTGAAAAAGACTAAAAAAAAGAGAGAGGATGGGTGGGTGGATAGATGAAAAGACTTAAAAAAAGAAGAGAGAAAGAGATATATTTTGGGGGGAAAAGCAAATTAAAGAAATCATCTTGACCCTTAAATTGTTAGATGAAATAATTTGAATCGTTGATTCAAAATGTATCTCTAATACATTTTGAGACATTTTCCAAAAAACCATCCTATCATATTATATAAATTTATTTATAAAATGTTCTCAAAAAATTCAATTCTCCATAATAGTGTATTTTATACCAATTTTACTATTTTCATTTACTACAAACAATAATTTCATAAATAATTTTAATATTTGAATCATATTTTATTATTGTAAAAATTATGAATATTATATTAAACAAAATCATAAGCAACAATTGGATCAAAACAACTATAGCATAAAATTCATCATTTTTTCAGTTTCAAACTATAATTTTTAATTTTTTTTATTTGGTAAATATCCAAAACGGCTAAATTTTATTAAAATTACATCAATAGCTAGAACTATAGAAAATAATTCCATGGTGGATTCATAATACGTGATGGTTTTGTTTGTAAAAAATTATTTAATTTCAATAATTAAAATAAATTTTCGTAATTAATTTTTTTAATGAATTGTTTGGTTCATATTTTAATTGAAATAAAATATACTATTATGAAGAATTATATTTTTTCTATAAGAAATAAAATTTAGTTGTCCAAGTAAACTTGAAATACACTAAAATATAACTTATTGGTAGTTTTTCATAAAAAATAATAAAATATAAATAAATGAAATTCAATGAATTCCAATTTTGACTTTTGACTACTCACCCAAGAGGTGCTCAATTAATAAAAAAACAATAGACCAGGGAAAATCAACGACTAGGGTCACTGCTGTGCGTGAGTCACAGCAGTGGTTGTGGTGCCTCCATTTGAGATATATTATGATCTTATTTTTATGATTTAAATCGTCTTTTTTGTAGGATTTGTTGAGTACTTTATGCCTACTAAAAATCATATTAATCGGATATCAATAACTATATGATCGAATTGCATATTATTTATGTTATTTCTCAAAATAAAACTTATTATTTATTTTTTTGGTTATCGATCATATAGTTTTTGATATCCGATTAATATGATTTTTGCTAAGCATGAAGTACTCAACAAACCCTACAAAATGGACGGTTTGAATCACAAAAATAAGGTTATAATACACCTCAAATAGAGGCACTACAATCACTACTGTAGTTCACACACAGCAGTGACCCTTTATCCATCAATCAAATGCTATCCAACGCCTCGATTCCGTCGAGAATTACAATCAAATGCTTGCCAGAGGAACATAGACTTCTCTATAAACTTTTGTATTACTGTTTCGTTATTTTTGTGTTTTGTTAAATTGTTGGATTTGGTATGTGTTTGTTTTGATCAGTCCCTATTGGGCATTCAAGATCTATGAATAAGCAAGCATGTAAAAAAATGAAGAGGAAAAAAAAAAAGTCCATTTCGTATGTTTCGAATCAAGCATATATATGTTGTCGTTCTTTTGTGTTGGATTCTTTTTGCTAATATGAAATATTAAAATAAAGAAAAATGTTATGCATTCTAAATTTTTTATCAAACAAATGACTAAATGTCTATCATAAATGTGAACTTTACATCCATGTGAGATATTTGATCATTAATTTAGTAAAAATTTTAATATCTCTAACATTATTCTAAAATAAATATTTAATTGAAGTAGTTATTTTCTACCTGGGAGCTGTTTGGTTGATGCATTGGATTAGTGGATGCATGATGGGCTTTGGGAATGCCAACTGTCGCTGCAAATAATGTAATGCTATGTATTAGCATAGCTTTAATTAAAAGCGTATTTACTCTATATTTTTTCAACTATCTTATTTTAGGACAAGGGGTGCCTGCTGTGCTTAAGCACAGCAGGGTGTGCTGTGCATGCAACACACAACAATAAAAAAAAAAAAAAAACAAAAGAAAAATTATATTAAAAA